AGATACTCACTAAGTCACTGGAAACTGTGTCAACAGGTCCGTCTCCAGTGTCTGCCTAATCATCCCTGGCATTTCCAGGGCAGAACTTGAGCATCTGGGCTTCCAGGATCTTCTGATCAGGTACTATGTGGGGTGGGTTTGAGAAAAGAGACTCCAAATTAAGCAGAGAGAAAATAAGAAGGTCCAGAACTTCTCATTGTTCTTTTTCCCTCTAAGAACCATTCCCCCGCAACCCTGTCTTTCAGTAAGGATATGTGGGCAACAGGGACCAGCACATTCTCTCATAACCCAAGCAACTCTAGGAAATAGCTCTCTGGCTTTCAGATTTGGTTTTGTTCTCTTCTGAAGGTGAAGCCCAAGATTATGGAATCTCCTCATCTGCTACTTTTTGAGAGAGATGTGAGTGGCCGCCCTGCAGCCATTCACTGTCCCTTATGACTGCTGCGCGCTGCTGGCTGAAGGTGAAGATGTCTGGTGAGCAGCATTCTTTAAAGGTCGGGTTTCTTGGCTGCCTTTGTAATGGCAGAAATTTGAAAGGCAGCCATGTCAGAGTTAACACTGACTTGCCACCTGACCCAAGAGGATCCAGATATCCAGGTAGCTTACGAAGAGTATCTCCCTGTCCCCTTCATCCGCCAGCCAATGAGGACCAGACAGCAGACACTGGTGAAGCTGCAGTGGAAGAGACACTTCATTAGACAGACGATGTTTAGCCTGAAAAGCAGTCGGCCCCGGTCTCCGTGTGTGTGTGTGTATGTGTGTGTGTGTGTGTGTGTGTGTGAAGTACATCCCTGTTTGGGGCAATCAGGAGATGATGACCATGATGTAGGACGAGAGGGAACCCAAAGAAAAGCACCCCCTCCATGAAAGCCCAGTTGTTCTCCTGGGCTGAACTTACAGATGCTTTTGCCAAACATTCCGGATTTTGCCACTGAACAATGGGGAAGAGGGAAGGAAGGGAAGTGTCAGTATGAAGAGAGATTCTTTCCTTTGGCTTTTTCCCCAGCATGTCACAGGGCCTGTGGATTTGGGAACTTGCCCTATTTGTTACTCTCTGCGGTTCCACAGCTAGTTCCCATAATAGTTAAGCTGGAACACACCATGTTGAGCTGGGTTAAGTCAAAGGGAATTTCCCAGACTTCAAATAAGAAACTTCAGCCAAGATGCAAAGCAGAAAGATTAAGATACTTGGCTCTGAAGTTGAACAGGTTTGGGTTCAAATCCTACCTTTGCCATGAATCTTCTGTCTTTGGGAAGTTAAGTTAGTTAATGATAATTTCTTCATGTATGAAATTGGGATAATATCTTTGCTACCATACGGTTGTGGTGAGGGTTAAATAAAATGATATGTGCAGTTTTTAGCACAGTGTCTGTACACAGTAGGCACTCAGTATTAGCAAATAAAATCAAGTAAATAAAACCAGCAAACCAAAACAAGCCTAGGTAGGGAGGTGTTGCTGACATTGAACCTGATCTCATATTCCTGAGTCCAGATTCTTTACTCTAGTCCTTGTGATATTTGACTCTGTTTTTTATTTAGCATTCTAAAAGTTTCTACGTTTCATTTTAAAATAATTACTTTTGGTGTGTAGGGCCTGTTTGCCCAATCGGGCTGATTTTCTGAAAAGCAGTCTTATTCTTTATTTGTAGCCCACTAAGTGTAGCCAATACTGTTTGTGTCTTGCAGAAATAAATCAAGTGGAGTCAGTGATACATTGTTAAGTGTATACAAAAGAATCAAAGGGCAAAACTGAGTTTCCATTGCTGAGTTTCTGATACAGCAGTGCCTGGCCCGGCTGCCCTCCGGCATGCCTGTAAAATGTAACTACCAAGTCAAGTCACTAATGTCAACCTAAATAATAACCACAGAGAGGCTCTCTTAAAAAAGAAAAAGAGGTATTTATTTGAGAATAGGGCATCGCAATGGGAATACATGTGCCACAGCAAACTGCATATTCAGGGAGGTAAAGGGAAACAAAAGATCTTACAGGAAACATGATGAAAATTGCATAATTGTTGGCCAGGCGCGGTGGCTCAAGCCTGTAATCCCAGCACTTTGGGAGGCCGAGGCGGGTGGATCACAAGGTCAAGATATCGAGACCATACTGGTCAACATGGTGAAACCCTGTCTCTACTAAAAATACAAAAAATTAGCTGGGCATGGTGGCGCGTGCCTGTAGTCCCAGCTACTCAGGAGGCTGAGGCAGGAGAATTGCCTGATCCCAGGAGGCAGAGGTTGCGGTGAGCCGAGATCGCGCCATTGCACTCCAGCCTGGGTAACAAGAGTGAAACTCCCTCTCAAAAAAAAAAAAAAGAAAATTGCATAATTGTTTTAAAATGCATATTCTTGGCTACAAAGATCAATAGCAATGGTGATGCCAGCATAAGGTTGGAGAGGCAGTTGCTGGGCAGATGTCCTCATAGAAGCGGTTACTGTGTAAGGCTGTCATGGCCTTTGTGGAAGGTTGTGGGTTTTGCAGTCTCTTGTGATAGTTTTGTTAGCAGGTGGACAAGCACGAGAAGCCTCTCTTCACAGCCTTCCCTAGCTCTATATTTGTCAAAGATTTGAACACAAATGACTTAATTTTGATTCTGACAACTTGCACACTAACTTACCACGTCTCCTCACAAACTTTACAAAAGAACAAACTTACACACTCGATTACAGACTCAGTCCCAATCTCTGCCAACTCCCCATCTCCACCAGCCCCACCTGCACACTTTAACGGGCCCACTTCCACGGGCCCAACACACACATACACTTCCTCAACCTCTACTTCTATGGTGCCCTAGTTCCTCACAGCTCAGTCCTGCTCCACGCACATGTAAAGGCATATTAGGCTTTGGAGGCAGGCAGAACCAAGTTCAAATTCAGGTCTCACTTTCTAGGTACGTGACCTTGGGTACTTTACTTAGTTTTACTTACTCTCTGTGCCTTGGTTTCTTCATCTATAAATTGGGTTCATAATACCTACCCCATAGTCACCATCTAGATAAAGCCTCTGGCTTGTTACTTCCCTAACTTTTCCTCAGTTCCAAAACCTCTCTGGCAGTTCTAAGCCCCTTCAGCAAAAGCTTAGATCACCACCCACAGAAGGGAGGTCTAATCTGCTCTTCCTCTTGTTCTCCAGCTTCACCCTCTCACGCTGGCCTTCTTCTAACTCTGATCAGCGAGAAGCAACCTCAGCCAGCTCTTGCTCCCTTTGGAGCCCCTACTCTGCTCTTCCTTGGCCAGTGTGCCCACCCCACCTTCACACCAGGACTGGAGCCAACCTCCCCTCCCCTGCCACACAGACAAAACTCTCCAAACACAAAGCCTCCAGCCTGCCCTCCCAAAATCTGGAGATCCCCAGTGCTCTGGACCCTGAAGGAATGTGCTGGAGGCTGTGCTGTTGCTCCGGGACTGGCCTCGATACACCAGTCTCTGCAACCAAGGCCCTTACCGTGCCTTCCCATCCTGTCACTCCCTTTCCTGTCTGCCGCATGCTGATATATAAGTGAAGATGGTAAAGATGATTTCCCTTGCAGAGCCACGCAGGAAGCTATACAGTATATATTATCCACGAAAGTGCCACGCAGGAGGCTATACAGTATATATTATCCACGAAAGTGCCACGCAGGAAGCTATACAGTATATATTATCCACGAAAGTGCCACGCAGGAGGCTATACAGTATATATTATCCACGAAAGTGCCACGCAGGAGGCTATACAGTATATATTATCCACGAAAGTGCCACACAGGAGGCTATACAGTATATATTATCCACCAAAGTGCCACGTAGGATATACAGTATATATTATCCACCAAAGTGCCACTCAGGAGGCCTCTTGGGGACTTGGCTTCAGAGCTCAGAAAACTTCCTTTTCAGGAATGGTTCTTCACACATTGAGGATAAGTGTTGTGTTCACAGCATGCCAAAATGCAGTGAGAGAAGAATAAGCTGCAGCACGGTGCAACAGAAAGAACACGGGCCTGGAGTCCGAGGGTCTCTAGTCCAGCCCCGTCTCTTCTTCACTGAGTGGCTCCTTCTCCAAGGATTTCTCAGTGTTCTCATTTATGCATTGGGCTTAGCCAGACCACCTCAGAGGATTGCTATGGAGATCAAATGAGATGAGAGGGTCATGAAAATAGAATGAAATGAAATGAAATGAAATGAAATGAAATGAAATGAAATGGCAATTACCATTATCATTAACCTCTTAGGGATTTTCCCCTGGGATGGCCAGGCTACAGACTCCATGAGAGTTGAAACTGCTGCCATCATATTCAACACTGTATTTCTAGGGCCTTAGCCCTCTGCCTGAAATGGGGCAAACTTTCCATAAATATTTGCTGATTAGCCACCAGTTGAGTTTTCTGTCCTTGCAATGAGGAGTTTGCTCATGATCATAATAAGCCTCTTTTCTCACCAGCTACAGAATGCTACCTACCCATAGCATGGGGCAGGGAAGGTATTAACTTTTTTTGTTTTAACTAAAAATGAGACCCAACTTTAAAGAGATAAAACTGGTTTTCTTGTGTCTCATACACTAAGTGTGAAAGGCACTTACAAAACAAGAATTCAAAAAATGTTCTAAGTAATAACATCACCACAAAAACACGTGTGACCTCCCAGACTGACTACTTAGTAAAAGTTAACCTCAATAGACATATTCTTGAACATTTGTATTAAAAACGGAGAGAGTCCCATGACTTTGCAGGCTCATGGAGACAAAGAATGTTCACCAGGACCCCAGCGTGTGTCAAGCACTGCTGAATCCATCACGATGGAGAGATGCTTCTCTGTCAAGAGGACTCAGCTGTAGAAGGCACCAAATGTGGTAGGAGGGGCCTGCTAATTAGACCAAAGCAGCCACACATCAGCAGGTAAAACAGAGACAAGAGGAGGTGGGGCTGGGCTGGGCTAAATCTTGGATGAATCAAGCCTTCCCATAGGGCAGGATATCCTGTCTAAAACATGAGCCTTGGTTAAAACCCCTATAAAAGGTTCTCATCACACTGACCTGGTACTCCTCACACCACCTAGCCACTTGTCTCATCCCACCTGGGCCTTAGGTAAGTCCCCTCAGAAGAAACCTCTTTTTCATTCTCAGTGTCTTGGTGATCTGAGCTCATAAACCTGGGACTGTCAGGTATGGGCTGTGTGTCCTTCAGAGCTAGCCGTGGGCACTGGGCAGAACAACGCTGCCATTGGGAAACACGCTCTCCTGAAGCAATCAGGCTTTGTTCTCCTGCCTGAGTCTGGCCTGGCAGTAGCTCCTTTCACTGAAAACTGTGTGGGCAGCTGCTATGGGGCCACCCATGTGCCTTCCTGGATCAGCAAAGGTTTCTTGTTTCTAAGGCTCTGGAAGCTTCTTTGCAGTGCTGAGAGCCTGTGGGAACAATCAGTTTATTTATGCCAACCTAGACGATAAGAGCAAACTGTGTCATGGATGAAGGGGCTTACGTGATTCCCCTCTCCTACCCCAGGGTGATGCTTAGGCAGAATAGTTGTAGATTTATTCTAAGGAATCTAAAATGTAACTAAAAGTTCATCTTATTATTTTTCTTATCTAAAGGTCAATGGTTAAAGTTGACTACATGGTTTGCAAAAAAAGAAAGATATTTTTCATCTATGTGGAGGAAAAATACTCTGTTTTTTACCTTGATGAAAAGTTTGCCTGAAATTGTTGGTTACCAGGACCTAGAAAGGGCTTCTCCTGAACAGCCCACCTTTTGCTGTAACCTACTGAGTCCTCAGGGCCACACTGACCTGCTTTTTCTAGCACTCAAGTCTCTTTCCTTCCTTTCTTCTCTTTCTTCTCCTATGTCTACCTTGTCCCATCCTCGCTCTGGTTTCCAGCTGCTGCAGCCTCTGTCTCCCCTTACATTTGAGGCTGGTCATCTTCGATACCATCTCCTCCTTTGGGTATCTCCAAGGCTTCTGCTAAAGAATCTTCAAGTCTCTATACCTCTTGTTCATGCGCCTCCAGATTCCTAGCTAATGAAAAAGAAAAGCTTTCCCTTTGATTAGGAACCAACTCCTAGGTCACCAGAAATCTGGGCCTGTTGGAGCCACACAGCATCTGGGCAAGCTGACTTCTCTGATAGGTCCGAGGACTGCAGAGAGAGGTGACATGCAGAGAAACTTGGGCCTTCGGAACTGGAAGGTCTCCCACCCAAAGCAGGTGCCCCCCCATCCTGAGCATTCCCAGCAGGTGGTAGCCCAGCTTCGTCCTGAACACCTTCCCAAAAAATGCAAGAAAGGAGGGCTGGGTCCCTGGAATTCCTGCTTGGCTCCCGCCCAAGACAAGGGTTGACTTACACGCATGTTTACTTCCTCTTGGTGTTCCCAGTGGGACCCTAAGACCCTTGTGATAAGCAGATAAATCCTGTCCACAGAGTACATTCTAGAAAGCCTATTGCATTTGGGTTAAGGAGAGATGGATTCTAGATATCTTGTTCCTTAAAAATTGTGGGCCTAACTTCTCTGTTCCCTCACCTACAAGAAAAAGTGGAAATAAGGATGACAAGAGATGAGGCACAGGAAAGTGCTTTGCGAGCGGTAGAGTGATTATGTAGGTGGGTACATATGCATAATAGCATAATGATCATGTTTAATAGGGAGCACTTAGTGTAAGCCAGGCATCTGCCAACTGCTTTTTATGAATTATGTCTTTACATAGTCACAATAATCCTATCAAGTACTAATATCACCTTCATTCGCAATAAGTAAACTGAGGCATGGAGAGGCAAAGCAACTCATCCCAGCTCGCACCATAGGTAGGTAGTGGAGCCAGCATTTAATTCTGCCTCGGGAACCTGCCTCCATCCTGTGTGCTCCTTTTTCCCATACATAAGATGCATTAGATAGGAAAGGACAAGGGAAAAGGAAAAGCAGAGCCGAACATGCAAGGGAAGACCTAGCAGCAGACGTGCTCTAAAGGAAACTACGGAGTGGAGCATGGAGCCTCCAAGGAGACTTCTCATCTTTTCCAGGTTGACTTCAAAGATGCCTCAGTTACTGCGAAACATTAATGGCATCATCGAGGCCTTCAGGCGCTACGCGAGGACGGAGGGCAACTGCACAGCCCTGACCCGAGGGGAGCTGAAAAGACTCTTGGAGCAAGAGTTTGCCGATGTGATTGTGGTATGTCGTGCTGAGCTGGGTGGAGAGGGGACGTAGCGGGAGACTGAAACCTTGTTTGCCTGCAGAGGCCTTGCCTGGGGGAATTTGCAGAGGCAGCAGCTAAACCCAGGCCTGCCAGGACAGAGGGCAGCTGTGCAGGAAGGAAAAGAGAAGGTGAAAGGACAAGGGATGGTCATAGGAGCTGGCAAGTCCTGGCTGTTTAGAGAAAGTACCTTGGTTTTAATGAATTCTAAAGATGAGGTAAAAGAGCTCTAAACGGACAACTCAGGGAGGAGCAGAGCCTTGGAGTGTTTCAGAATGAAAATAATTGCTGCTTTCTTCTGCCTCTCAAACTCGATACAGTGAACATTTCTCACGTCTATCTGAATGTAATCATCCATTCGCAGGCAGTCATTAGAAGCATAGCTCTGGGCTTTCACAAAGACGTTACTCAAAAATATTAGCGGACTGATCACATCAGAAATGAAATTTTGAAGAGCAGGTTGTTAATAACTAGGGGAAGACTTTGGTACCCTGCCCCGCCCCACCCCATCTCGCAAACCAGAGCCAAGGCCTTCATGCCCTTTTCTGTCTGGTTTGCGCCTAAAGCGACCGGGATGATGATGGCCTTGGGGTCAAGGATATGTGGGAACAGAAGGACGTTGTGTCCACACGCTCAGGGCAGCTCTGCAGGCCCACTGCACCCCTCCCTCTTTATCATGGGAAAACATCTGGGCCTCAGTGAGGAGCCCACAGAATTCCCACGGGGCTGTGTTCCCACCCTGCTGCTCTTGTGCTGAGCCTGCTGCAGAGACTAAGGCCTCAGTGCCAGGAGCAAGGTGCCATAGGCAGCCCAGACCATCAACCTGAAAGCCCAGACAGTTGCACTGTCAATTCAATAATTCATTCACTCTTCAATACATCTTTATCTAATTTTCCTGTAGGCCAGAAATTGTGCCAAACAGAGGCTACAAAACAAAAAGTGCTCCCTACACTACGGGAGAGGGACAGGACTTAAACAAAAAGGCGATTACGTCTTGCTGCTGCTCTAGCCGTAGGTGTGTGGAGTGTGGGGTCTGAGGCGGGGGAATCTGGCAGCAGAGTGGAAGGGGCCTGCCCACGTCCTCCTCAGGGGAGGGGTGCTGATTCCATCTCATCTTTTCCTCAGAAACCCCACGACCCGGCAACTGTGGATGAGGTCCTGCGGCTGCTGGATGAAGACCACACAGGGACTGTGGAGTTCAAGGAATTCCTGGTCTTGGTGTTTAAAGTGGCCCAGGCCTGTTTCAAGACACTGAGCGAGAGTCCTGAGGGAGCATGCGGCTCTCAAGGGTCTGGCAGCCTCCACCCTGGGGCCTCGCGGGAGCTGGGGGAAGGACAGAGAAGTGGCACTGAAGTGGGAAGGGCAGGGAAAGGGCAGTGTTGTGAGGGGAGCAGCCAGGGACAGAGCGAGCAGGCTTCCAGAGGGCAGAACAGGCCCAGGCCTGGGGCTCAGACCCAGGGTCAGGCCACCAGCTCTGTGTGGGTCAGCAGCCATGACAGGCAAGCCGGGTCCCAGAGCCAGGAGAGAACAAGCCTGCAGACACAGCTCTGGGGGCACAAAGAGAAGACCCAGGCAATTGGAGAAGGCCAGAGTCATCAGACCAGGGAGATGAGGCCACAGACCAGGGAACAAGACAGAGCCCGCCAGACAGGTGAGACTGTGACTGGATCTGGAACTCAGACCCAGGCAGGTGCCACCCAGACTTTGGACCAGGACAACAGCCACCAGACAGGAAGCACCAGCACCCAGACACAGGAGTCCACCAATGGTCAGAACAGAGGGACTGAGACCTACGGTCAAGGCAGGAGTCAGACCAGCCAGGCTGTGACAGGAGGACACACTCAGACACAGGCAGGGTCACACACCCAGACCAGCCAAGCTGTGACAGGAGGACATACTCAGACACAGGCAGGGTCACACACCCAGACCAGCCAGGCCGTGACAGGAGGACACGCTCAGACACAGGCAGGGTCACACACCCAGACCAGCCAGGCCGTGACAGGAGGACACGCTCAGACACAGGCAGGGTCACGCACCCAGACCAGCCAGGCTGTGACAGGACACACTCAGACACAGGCAGGGTCACACACCCAGACCAGCCAGGCCGTGACAGGAGGACACGCTCAGACACAGGCAGGGTCACACACCCAGACCAGCCAGGCTGTGACAGGAGGACACGCTCAGACACAGGCAGGGTCACGCACCCAGACCAGCCAGGCTGTGACAGGAGGACACACTCAGACACAGGCAGGGTCACGCACCCAGACCAGCCAGGCTGTGACAGGACACACTCAGACACAGGCAGGGTCACACACCCAGACCAGCCAGGCTGTGACAGGAGGACACACTCAGACACAGGCAGGGTCACACACCCAGACCAGCCAGGCTGTGACAGGAGGACACACTCAGACACAGGCAGGGTCACACACCCAGACCAGCCAGGCTGTGACAGGAGGACACACTCAGACACAGGCAGGGTCACACACCCAGACCAGCCAGGCTGTGACAGGAGGACACGCTCAGACACATGCAGGGTCACACACCCAGACCAGCCAGGCTGTGACAGGAGGATACGCTCAGACACAGGCAGGGTCACGCACCCAGACCAGCCAGGCTGTGACAGGAGGATACGCTCAGACACAGGCAGGGTCACGCACCCAGACCAGCCAGGCTGTGACAGGAGGATACGCTCAGACACAGGCAGGGTCACACACCCATACCAGCCAGGCTGTGACAGGACACACTCAGACACAGGCAGGGTCACGCACCCAGACTGTGGAGCAGGACAGAAGCCAAACTGTAAGTCATGGAGGAGCTAGAGAACAGGGACAGACCCAGACAGAGTCCGGCAGTGGCCAAAGATGGACACCAGCGAGCAAGCCTGAGGCAGGAGAGACAGTACTGGGAGGACAGGCCCAGACTGGGGCAAACCCTGAGTCAGGAAGGCAGGACTGGAGCAGCCCTAGTGTGACAGAAGGGCAGGGAGACAGAGACAGACAGGTTGTTGAGGAATGGGTTGATGACCACTCAAAGGAGACAGCGATCCTCAGGCCGGACCATGGCAGCCTGCACACAAGCGTTTCCTCAGCACAGGGCCGGGATGCAGCCCAACCAGAAGTGAAGCGGGCCATCACCACTAGGGAGCTGTATTCCTACTTGAGAAGCGACCAGCCATGACTCCCCCTGACTCCAATGCCTAGTACTAGAAGAAGATATCTGGAGACACGTTGGCTTGCCCTGCATGGCCAGTCTAGTGGGTGCATCCCTGGACATCAGCTTTTTATTATGCAGCTTCTCTTTTAGGTGTTTCTCAACGAGGTCATTTCTGCCAGGAGCTTTCTATCCTAAACTGCTCTCTCTTACCTGCTTTGCAGTGCAGACCCTCTCAGGAGCAGGAAGACTTGGAGCAAGTCACTCCTTTGTACTGAACTGTCCTCATCTCGTGGGGGTTTTCAGAACTATTTTTGTCTCTGACATCTCTCTATTGCCCCGTCTACTCTAATGCATCAATAAAATCTTCAGCAACTGGCCTCCGAGTCTCATTCAGTCACCTTCTATTGACATGACAGGCCAAGGGCTGTAGAGTTATGAGATGGTAAACTGGACATAGTCCCTACCTTTGAAGAGCAAGTAGTTGAGAGAATATTACACGAGATTCCTACTATGTATCATACTTCATACTTGGCAGAGCTGGATCAGCAAAGCTTCCATACAAAAGGTGCTTCCTTGATAATGGCCCTTAAAGGACAATTAGTATTTAGGCAAAATTCTTCTTGGTCTTTCACTACCTCTGATTCTGTAGTGTTAAACCTCTATTCACCTGTCAGGTCACACAGGAAAGCTGATTGAAGCTTACCAGTAAATGGAAGAAGGCCCCCAGTGGCCGCGTGGGGAAAGAATGAGGCTTATGTTACCGGGTACTGAGCCAGGGGCCCAAACTGTACTTCCCTTCCTTTCTCCCCATCAGTGTCAGCTCGGACCTCTTGTGATGTTTTACCCACCAGATACAAACCATGCTGTGGGGCAGAGACTATCACTTCTGGTTTATTACAAGAGGGACCAGCACAGTTCTCAAAGATTTATAAACCTGACCCTACAGATGCTGGTTCTAAGGTTTGGAGCCAATTCATATTGTTTAGAAATTCCCTGGGGGTCTTGTGCTTTCGTCAGTACACAAGACTAGATACTCAGAAAGGTTTCCGAAGGTAAAATAACTCGAGCCTGCGTAAAGCATATTTTTCACTGCATTAGTGGTTTACGGGAAATAAGGGAAATCGCCAAGGAAAAAACAAAATGTGGGATAAGCAACAACCAAACAAAAACAAAATGTAAGTTACATAACGACCTCCTAAGACATCCAGGACCTAATCTCAGAAACGTGGGAATACATCACCTTATATGGAAAAGGGACTTTGCAGCTGTGATTAAGTTAGGGATTTTGAGATGCGGGGAGGTTATTCTGGATTATCTGGGTGAGTCCAATATAATCACAAGGTTTCTTATAAGAGTGAGACTACAGGATGAAAGTGGGTAAAAGGTAGTGTGTTGATGAAACCAGCGGCTGCAGCCATGTGCTCTGAGCCAAAGAGTGTGCAGAGACTAGAATCCAGAAAAGGCAAGACATTTTCCTCTAGAGTCTTCAGAAGTAACGTAGCCCTTCTGCCAGCTTGATTTGAGATTTATGACCTTCAAGGCTGTAGGAGAATAACATGTTTGTCATTTTAAGGCACTGATCTTATAAACAATTACAGTAGTGATAGAAAACTCAACCACCAAACAAAATCCTAGAGCTGGTGTCACAGTAGTAAGGGGCGAATGTGTGAAAGGAAAGGTGGCTCTTCTGAGGACAGATGGATTTTATATCCATTCACACGGGCTTATACATATAAAGTCCAAAGAAAAACAGCAAAGAAATGCAAAGACTCAGGGAATATTGCTCCCATAAGCCCTTTCTGGGGGAACTACTAGAAAATAAGTGCACGCACACGCGCACGCACACACACACACACAGACACACACACACAGACCGGAATCACAGAACTGTCTGGCATACAATCTGACGATGCACATTTAAATGTATTTAACTGCAGAACTAAGACTACATAATGTGGACAAAGGTGACGGAATAGCATTTCATGTTGTATACAGTACAGCTAACAAAAAATGAAGGGAGAAAGAGAAAGCATCCAGAAAATAGAGTCTGCTCGCTGATTGTCTTATGCCTACAAGGAAAAACTGGGAGTGAAAGGAGGTGACTTCACATTAGATACTGAGGAAGGAAGAAGGAGGGTAGGGGGAAAATTTCCAGAAAATTTCATTATTACTTAGAGTAGGGAGTAAATATGCCATTTATAAAGGGAAGGGGGATACAGAATGCATGTTACATAAAGATGTACTATGAGGTAACAACCCAAATATGAACCTTCCTCAACACCAAAAGACGTTTTAGAAAAAAGCAAATACCACAGACAACAGAGTGCATGCTGTTATTTACGTAAAAGATATAGGTTTTCATAAATAGGACATTAAAGAGTGTGATAGACTGAGGTCAATCATTATTTATAATAATAATGTCCAGAGCCAAAAACTCACTGTTAGAAGAACAAGGTTTCGTATTAGCGCTAGACAAGTCTATGCTCCTTACGAGAGGTATCCAAATCAAGGAGAGTGGGAAAACAATCCGTAAAGGGGGTGATCGAGTTGACATACATCAGGAAAGTGCAGATTAAAACACGATTTAGAAATCAGGAGTCATGATCCTGCTCCCAGATTAGATCAAAACCATTCAATACGACTAAGAATGATGCTTCAAAATGCCAAATGCAATAATTTCACAATGAAGACATAATGGTTTTTAATGTCTATACATTCAATAATGTAGCTCAACTCTGATGAGGCAGAAACTACAAGAGATACAAGGACAAACTTAAAGAAAATAGCATAGTAAGAATAGGGCACTTGAATCATCTCTCTCAGCTTAAGACAGTAAGTGTAGAGAAGAAATAGTACATTCAATAAGATGTAAAGAACTCTACAGACATATAGTCCAGCAATGTATTAACCTAAAAAGAAAAAAACTATACCTTCTACACATGAAATGTTCAATATCAGGTCACAAAGAAAACTTCAATGCATTATTCAAAAACAGAAATAGGCCCCAGTGCGATGGCTCACGCCTGTAATCCCAACACTTTGGGAGGCTGAGGCAGGCAGATCACTTGAGCTCAGGAATTCAAGACTAACCTGGGCAACATAGTGAGATCCCATCTCAACAAAAAGAAAAATGCAAAAATTAGCTGGGCATGGTGGTGTACACCTGTAGTCCCAGATACTCTGGGACCTGTAGTCCCTATAGGGATTCACTGGCCTTCCTTGACTTTTAAAGTTTCCACATAGAGGCTGCTTTCAAAAAATGTGCATGTTATTTTAGAGACAAAATGGAATATTTGTGGAAAATACAGAGACTTGATGGGAATTAAATATCTTTATAGTTTCTAAGACGGACTCTATTTTGTTCAAAGGATAGAGAAATCATCCTTCCCAATCATATCAAACACATTAAAACGCACACACACACCACTTAAATATAATCTTTGTTGAAAATTTTTTGAGAGCATTTTTATAGTTTTGTTTATGGAATTACGACATAACTTGTACATTTGCCTCATTTTAGCTATGACTTCTCTGCAACTACAGAGCACATTTTTGAGGACAATATAAATATTAAAATTGCTTAACCAGAATTTTTCATTAATACTAAATTTAACAATAAAGGAGATTCACAAAGCTTTATATCTAGACATTTAAATTTAAGTGCTTATAAATTTCCTTTGCACATTTGTTTTGGAGCTGACAGGTATACCTATGGAAAGGCATCTATTTTTTTAATTTAATTTTGTTTTGTTTTTGCAAACAAGAAAATGTTTTATTTTAAACCACAAATTGTCAGCAGGTGGCTGCGACTATTCATGTTTTATTAAAATCACATAAAACCCAGGTACAAAAGCACCACGGATTATTGCTCAAGAATAACTGCATGAAAAACTCAAATGTGCACAGTAAAACTAAACACCTCAGTTTGCACAGCACTGAATTTTGTATGCCAACTAGTAGAGTTCTAAAAAGATCAGCATTTACAAAATACGAAGTAAAAACAGCTTTTGAAAGTTGACCCAAGAGATACATATAATCAACCCCAATTTTTCATGACAATTCATTCTCCCTGGTTATCTACAGATTCAGTTTTCTGTGCCCCTTCAGCTCCAGCTTCAGCATTTCCAGACGGTGTAGTACTTTTCTTTCCAGCTTTCCTTCATTCTTCTCTTTAACACCTCTGCTAAGCTTTGCTCCAGGTTCTTTCTTAGCAGATATTTTTCTTGGTTTGGGTTCAGGTTTCGGTGGAGCAGGTTTTGCTGACAATCTGGAAGACAATTTTCTGGGCTCCTGTTTAGTTACTTGGATCCGTCTTTGCCCTCTGTATTCTCCGGAGACTTTCTCATCTGCATAGTGACTCTGTCGGTCAGCAAAAAGCAAAGCAACAGGGTGGAACTGGTGGTGCCGCCTCTGGATACTGACTCTGCCACTGCAGCTGCTCACGCGCAGGGCATGGCATAGCCCCTGTCTATTTTTTTTTTTTTTTTTTTTGAGACGGAGTTTCGCTCTTGTTACCCAGGCTGGAGTGCAATGGCGTGATCTCAGCTCACCGCAACCTCCGCCTTCTGGGTTCAGGCGATTCTCCTGCCTCAGCCTCCTGAGTAGCTGGGATTACAGGCACGCACCACCGTGCCCAGCTAATTTTTTGTATTTTTAGTAGAGACGGGGTTTCACCATGTTGACCAGGATGGTCTCGATCTCTCGACCTCGTGATCCACCCGCTTCGGCCTCCCAAAGTGCTGGGATTATAGGCGTGAGCCACCGCGCCCGGCCCGCCCCTGTCTATTTATTTTTGATTCAAATATTTTGTTGTCTCTTGCAAAGCTCATAAGTGCCAGTCACATTGGATTGGCCATAGTGTGTAAAATGGCCCTGTCCTCAGGGACACTCAGGGCTGAAGCCTCACTTCAAAGGCCCAGAAAACCTCTTTCACCAGGTAGCTTCCCAGTCTGCATAGACAGCAAGTGCACTGTGCTACTGTCCCCTGGTGGCAGTTATGACTAATACATGTAAAGGAGCTCCGGCAGGAAATGAGAAAGAAGATGGCATCAGACGGGGAATGGGCTCAGTGGTGTGGTCTTGGGCACAGCAGCACCCAGAGTAAGTACCCTGAAACCTCAGTAGTGAAGCTACCAGTAGTGAGAGCAGCCCCAGGTTGCTCTGAGCCATGGGGATGAGACAGAGAGAGAGAGAGTGAGTGTGTGTGTGTGTGCGTGTGTGTGTGTGTGGGTTTAAGGAGTGCCCTTCATGGAACCATTCCTACTGGCAACTGGCTGCCAGCAGCTACATATCTACATCATATACAGGGCCTTGGCCCACTGTTGTGAGCATGTCATGATTATCCCACCTGGGAAAGTACATTTCTGGAGCAGTCCCT